AGCTAATGTCTCAAACTTCTCCACTGTGAAGTTGCTCTTTATTATCTTTTTTTTTCTTTTTTTTGAGACGGAGTCTCGCTCTGTCGCCCAGGCTGGAGTGCACTGGCCGGATCTCAGCTCACTGCAAGCTCCGCCTCCCGGGTTTACACCATTCTCCTGCCTCAGCCTCCCGAGCAGCTGGGACTACAGGCGCCCGCCACCTCGCCAGGCTAGTTTTTTTGTATTTTTTTAGTGGAGACGGGGTTTCACTGGGTTAGCCAGGATGGTCTCGGTCTCCTGACCTCGTGATCCGCCCGTCTCGGCCTCCTAAAGTGCTAGGATTACAGGCTTGAGCTCTTTATTATCTTATGAGGCAATACCTTTCAACTTATCAGTATGGATTCATGCTTTCTTATTTTATTCAGTGGATTATAATCCATGGCTATCATTATTTATTTTTTGGTGTTTAATTTGTTCCAAATTTGGCCAGTGGGAACCTCTTCAAGCTGGCTCCTGTGGCCTTTTGACATGCCCCTATCATTCTTTGAGCATTTCGTTTTTTGTTTTTGAGAGTCTCGCTCTGTCACCCAGGCTGGAGTGCAGTAGCACAATCTCGGCTCACTGCAAGCTCTACCTCCTAGGTTCACGCCATTCTCCTGCCTCAGCCTCCCGAGGAGCTGGGACTACAGGCGCCCGCCACCACACCCGGCTAATTTTTTGTATTTTTAGTAGAGACAGGGTTTCACTGTGTTAGCCAGGATGGTCTCCATCTCCTGACCTCATGATCTGCCCACCTCAGCCTCCGGAAGTGCTGGGATTACAGGCATGAGCCACCGCGCCCAGCCTCTTTGAGCATTTCTTTTTATTTTCTAGAATAAAATGTTCCAGGCTCATCTTCCAGGCTGTGAATAAACCCGTGAGGAAGTTGCTATTATTACCATCCCCATAATAGATACGGGGAAGCCTCGGGACAGTTCTGGAATACACAGCTAGCAATTTCTTGTGGCAAGATTGTGAACCCAGACCATAGCTCCAGACCCTGAGCTCTTTTTCCCCCACCCCAACTTTTAAATTTTTATTTATTTTTGAAACAGGGTTTCTGTCACCCAGGCTGGAGGGCAGTGGTGTGCTCATAGCTCACTGCAACCTTGAAATTCTGGGCTCAAGCAATCCTGCTGCCTCAGCCTCCCAAAGTGCTGGGATTACAGGCATGCACCACCACACCCAGCCCAATTTTCTATTTTAAAATAATCTTAGACTTAGAGAAAAATTGCAAAAAATAGTAGAGTTCCTACTTACCCTTCACTCAGTTTTCCTTAATGTTAACATCTGGCACTACCATAGCATAATTACTGAAACCAGGAAATTAACACTGAGGCAGTACTATGGACTATGACCAGCAGACCCTTTCGGGATTTTGCTGGCTTTCCTGGTAAGGTCTTTTTTCCAACCCCAGGATCTCACATTGCACTTGGTCTTTCCTTGTCCCCATGACCTGCCACTTGTGAACAAGACAACTCTCTCTTCATTTGTGGACTGCCCTCAGTTTGGGTTTGCCCGCTGCTTGCTCCTGGTTAGATTGAGGTGTTGCGAGAATACCACAGGCAAAATCAGGCCCCTCTTAGTGCATCATCAAGAGACAATGACTTATGGCCAGGCCTGGTGGCTCACGCCTGTAATCCCAGCACTTTTGGAGGCTGAGTCAGGCAGATAACTTAAGGTCAGGAGTTCGAGACCAGCCTGGCCAACATGGTGAAACCCCGTCTCTACTAAAAATACAAAAATTAGCTGGGTTTGGTGGCGAGCCTGTAATCCTGGATACTCAGGAGGCTGAGTCAGGAGGACCACTTGAACCCAGGAGGTGGAGGTTGCAGTGAGCTGAGATCTCACCACTGCGCTCCAGTCTGGGCAACAGAGAGAGAGTCCATCTCAAAAAGCAAAGAAAAAAGGGGGAACAGTGACTTACGGCCAGGCTCGGTGGCTCATGCCTATAATCCCAGCACTTTGGGAGGCCAAGGTGGGTGGATCGCGAGGTCTGGAGATCGAGACCATCCTGGCTAACATGGTGAAACCCCGTCTCCACTAAAAATAAAAAAAAAAAATTAGCCAGGCATGGTGGCGGGCGCCTGTAGTCCCAGCTACTCGGGAGGCTGAGGCAGGAGAATGGTGTGAACCCGGGAGGCGGGGAGCTTGCAGTGAGCTGAGATCACCCCACTGCTGAGATCGTGCCACTGCACTCCAGCCTGGGGAGACAGAGCGAGAAGATTCTATCTCAAAAAAAAAAAAAAAAAAGAAAAGAAAAGAAAATGGAGCCCATCAACTGCATGCAGTGGCTCACGCCTGTAACCCTGTAATCCCAGCACTTCGGGAGGCCGAGGCGGGCAGATCACGAGGTCAGCAGATAGAGACCATCCTGGCTAACATGGTGAAACCCCGTCTCTACTAAACATACAAAAAAAAATTAGCTGGGCGAGGTGGCAGGTGCCTGTAGTCCCAGCTACTCGGGAGGCTGAGCCAGAATGGTATGAACCCAGGAGGCGGAGCTTGTAGTGAGCTGGGATGGCGCCACTGCACTCCAGCCTGGGCAACAGAGCGGGACTCCGTCCCCCCCCCAAAAAAAAAAAGAGGAAAATGGAGCCCATCTTCCCTCACCAAGAAAGAACATAGGTCTCACACTAATGGTATTAAACTATTTACAAGTACAGAATAAAGAACTTTTTCCTAGAATGGTATTTAGAAACCAAGATCTGGACACTGTATGTGCTCATAGCTATTGTAGTGTCACTGCTTCCAGACCTTCCCAGCAGACAGGGCTAGGAAATGCACGTATATGTTCTAATGCTGGCTCTCACACACACATGTTTATTTCAGGATCTATCTGTATGTATATTAAAACCATGAGTTCATACTACTTCCAACTCTAATCCAACACAGGCTTCATTCCAGCTGCACTACCTTCCTCCTCTGTAGCTTTTTCCAACAGTGAAAAGCTGGCAGAGTCTGAGCACTTTAACCTGCCAGAAGAGGGGGTACAGAGGATGGCTTTGCCTTAAAGGACAAGATTTTGACAGGCACAAGTGAAGGTCATTCCCATGGAGAGAACAGCATGCCTGGAGGCTAGCAGGCAAAGGATATGAGGGGTAAGCCTAAAACAGGGAAGGAACAGGTCTCAAGGGGCCTGAGTCAAACACAACTTGTGGCTCACGAAGGTGGTTTTACCAACATCTTATCAATTGTTTCACGTCACCAGGCAGTGGAGAACCACTTGACACTCTGGAGTAGGAGGTGTCAGAACAAGATTATCTGGGCTTTAGATCCAGGAGCAAATAGATTGGGTGGGCAGGGAACGAAGCTGTGGTCATAAGCTACGGTGGCAGTGGCTGTACTGGGAAAGAAAAGACCGATGGGAAAGGTACCACAGAACCACCACACCACCTGGTGACTGACAGTGTGGGAGAGACAGGGAAGGCGTTGACGGATAAGGCTCCAACCTGGGAGGCAGGGAACCAGTGGTGCCACGAAGAGCCCTATGGGAAGAACTGGTCTGGAGGGCACCCTAATGTGGAGTTCTCCGTGCAAATTCTGCTCTGAGGGCCAGTGCAAGCATAATAGCCCTGTGACCACAAAGCCTCACAATCAGCCTTGGCAGACAGGCGTCAGTACTCTCTCCACTCTTACCTCATGTCCTCGGTCCTGGGCCCTCCCTTGGCCCCCACAAACCCCAACTGACTACAACACACTGCTCTGGTCACCATCCTTCTATGGCTGGCCACCCATCTCCTAGGACACAGCTAACGATCCTCCACGTACCAGCTTAACCCACCTTTTTGGTTCATCTCACACAATGGCCACAGACCAGTGACCCTTCCCTGCTGACTGGGCATTGGGTCTCTGCTGACTGGGCATTGGGTCTCTGCTTTCCTCTCCAGCCTCACTGGTCCCCAGGTGCCTTTTTTTTTTTTTTTTTTTTGAGACGGAGTCTCGCTGTGTCACCCAGGCTGGAGTGCAGTGGCGCGATCTCGGCTCACTGCAAGCTCCGCCTCCGGGGTTCACGCCATTCTCCTGCCTCAGCCTCCCATGTAGCTGGGACTACATGTGCCTGCCTCCATGCCTGGCTAACTTTTTTTGTATTTTTTAGTAGAGACGGGATTTCAATGTGTTAGCCAGGATGGTCTCCATCTCCTGACCTTGCAATCCACCTGCCTTGACCTCCCAAAGTGCTGGGATTACAGGCGTGAGCCACAGTGCCCGGCCAAGTCCCAGGTGCTTCTTTGGGCTCTCACATCTGCTTGGAATGACTGCCCCTCCCTGGCTAACCTCTGGGCCCCTGCACGCCGGCCTGCCCCACCTGTTGGACTAGATGCCCATCGCCTCGGCTCCACCAACTCTGTACTAAAATGACCCGTCTGTCTTACTCCCCTGACCTGTGTATTTGTTAGGGCAAGGATATAACTTGTTGACCATTGGCCCCAAAGACACGGTACCATCCTGGACACACTGTAGGTGCTTAAACACTTAAGGAAGCAAAGAGCAGACATTCTCCAAACTCTAATTCCTCACGGCTCCCCCTACCCTTCCTCTCCCTGCTCTTCGGCCTCTTTCTCTAGGGCCTGGCTAAGCTCACGGCCTCCCTGCCTCCCCCATCCTGACTTGTCTGAACACATGAACTTGCATTATTGCTGGTGTCCACCAGCCTTAGCCCTGGCTGAACGGGGTGAGCAGAGGTGCTCAAACAGGCCTGTCCGAGGTCCGGAGGCAAAGGCGGCGGCCTGGTTCTGCTTCCCCTGGTGGACTGCAGCAGCGGAGGTAGCAGGTGAGGGAACTATGCTGCAGGGTGAGAGCCCGGCCTCCTGAGGCCTCTTGCGCCACACTGCCCCGCCAACCACTGAAACCCTCATGCTGCTGGGCTAGAGCCAGTGCCATGCTGCGTTCGCTCTGGTCCTTTCTCTGAAAGTCCCCAGGGATGGAAGAGCAAACAACAGCACAGCCAGCCACAAGAAAACAGAGCCACACACTGGGCCTTGTCCATAATTATTACTACAATGATTTACAAAAGTTTTTTTTCAGGCAACTGTGTTAAATTATTGTACGTATCTGACAGACGGAGGTGGGGCCCTGGCCACAGCAAAAGCGACGACCTCTTTCTTGGGTGAGGTGAGAGAAGAAAATGTCCCCCACCCCCTTTTAGGTCTGACTCCTTATTAAGTGGCTTCCCTTCAATAAATGATGAGCATCAACCCTTTCCCACCCAGGGTGCCAAGGGTAGAGGGAGGAGCAAGTCGATGAAGTGCTCTGAGGGGAGAGTGCAGCAGCTCCGGCCACCTTGCAACCTCTGCCCTGGCTCCGAAGGGCCTGACCCTGGGCTGCACCCCCTTGCTGGGGATGGAAGACCATTCAGTACTGAGCCCTCCACCAGGGCATCTACCCAGGAAGACAGGACAGAGTGTGGAAGAGGCTGTGCCACCCTGTCAGGTCACGAACAGGAGGTGGCAATGGACGTGCTGACACACCAGCGGGAGCTGCTGGATGCCCCTCCAGCCCACTCCCCAAACTGGCTACACAGGCATCCAGGCATTCTGGCCCTGGAGCTCGGGGAGGCAGCCCTGAGAGTCAGAGCAGGGAACCACAGGCCTAGCTGGCCCTGCCAGGGGGATACCCAGAACAGCCCGACATGGTGCTCAGTCCCCACACGCCAGCTCAAGGCTCCTGTCCATGCAGCTCAATGTCACTCATATGTGCGTGTCGTGTGTGTGCAGAGGGGAAGGCTGCAGGGGGGCACTGTCGTGCCGCCCACCCAGGGGTTCAGGGCATGCAGGGGACCCTAAGCCAAGTATGCGAGCCCAGACCAAAAAGGGTTCAAGGCTCTGGCTGCCCTCCCTCCCCCTCTCCCAATGTGCCCCGCCCTCCTCGGGCACTAGAAGGTTTTGCGATGAATAGCACGGGAGCCATCCTCTTCATACTCCTTTTTGGACACCCACATCTTCTTAAAAGTGTCCAGCGAAGCCAGGATGGAGCCGCTGCGGGGATGGAGGGATAGTGTTGCTGTGGACCTGTCGGGGAGCCAACCACCTTCCTGGGCGCTCAGAGTTCCGTTTCCCTAATTTGGGAGGGAAATCCACCCACCTCCACCTGGCCTGGGCCAACCCCGGGAGGAGCATCCAGGGTAAAGTGGTCTCTTCCCAGAGCCCTCCCTTGAGCCCCGCCTCACCCAATCCACGTGGAGTACAGCCGTTCCTGAGGGGCTGAGATCTAGAGGGAGGAAGTGGCCACATCACTGTGGGTCCCCACCCAGAAGCCATCCTCCCAGCCTTGGGGTCACCTCCCCAGGTCCTGAAGCCCGACAGCAAAGGCATCGGCTGGGGAGTGGTAGCAGTGGCCCTGGGAGGAGCAGGGATGGGTGGACGCGAGCCAGTGAGCAGGTCTGGAGGCAGCATCCACCCTTCCTCCCCATGCCGAGGCTGCCAGCGCCCTAGCGCCCCAGGGGGAGTCTCTGTAACCTCACCTTGATTTTGACATCCTTTGGAGCAAGCTTCTTCACTTCACTGAGTAATCGGTCTCCGAAGCCTGTGAACACAAAGCTGGTTGAGCCTGGGGTCTATACCCGGCCTCCCCGTTGCTAGCTCCCACACCCAACCTTCAGGGCCCCCAGCTACTGCTGGCCTTCAATCAGCAGCTCTTCCCAGGAGGAAGGGCCAGGCTGGGAAATGATCCAGCCCCACGGCTGCCTGTGGGCCCTGCATCCTCGCAGAGGCAGCGTGAGATGAAGCCACACGGGCTCCCTGCTCAACACTCACAATACACTTTCGAGCTTGTGTAAACTTCTCCTCTATTCAGAGTAAACAAAATTTAATTTTAAATCTTGGTCTGTTAAAAACAAAAAACTTGTTCACTGAGCACCACCAAAAAGCCAGTAGAAAATGGCGCTGGGCGGAGGTTCACTCGCTGAGGGTCCAGCTGCCCTCGCCTCACCACCACCAACTCCCCGGCCACAGTACCTTTGAAAAGCGTCGAGCCACCCGAGAGCACGATGTTGGCGAACAGTGTCCGGCGCAGGTCCATGTCGGACTTGTGTATGGCGAAGGCCAGCACCTCATGGAGCCCCTCACTCTCATCCCCTACAAGGTCCGGCTGGAACAGCAGCTCGGGGGCCCGGAATCGGGCAGGCCCCACCTTAAGTGGACAAGATTGAGGCAGACAGGCTTCCTGGAGAAGCTGGCCACCCCTTCCCCCAGGCTGGGCATTGGCTGCCACTCCAGTGCCTGGCCACTTACATCGAGCGTGCTGCCGTCTGGCAACGTGTACTGCACCTTCTCCGTCTCCAGAGCCTCATCCTTCTGCGGGTTGATGGACAGGTAGCAGGCTCGCTGCGGGGGCGGGGACACAGCCCTCAGAAGGCTGTACCTGGGACACCTGTGCCTTGGTGCCACCCTTTCCTCACCCCCGGTCGTGTCCACACCCTCTTGCCCCTCGTCACCTCTTTGATTGTCCGGACAACCTCAAACTCAGCCGAGGTATGGAAGTCAACCCCTTCCTTGCGCAGCAGGAGTCGGAGGTAGCGGGAGACGTCGCGGCCGGCAATGTCCACCCGCATGATGGAGTGAGGCATGGCAAAGCCCTCATAGATGGGCACGGCGTGAGTGACCCCGTCCCCCGAGTCTAGAACCACTCCTGTCGTGCGTCCCGTTGCGTACCTGTCACCAGGTCAGCATCCCCTCACCTCAGCCACTGAGGCAGGGGGACCTCCTCACCCAGGGGAGGAACCCTGGCACGTCTGCATTATCTAGTCTGAACAAAGGGCACGAGGGACTCCCTAGAGGAAGAGTCATCAAGGGGCTGTTTTTCCAGGGAAGTCAGACCCTGGTCATGGCGAGCAGGAGGACGGCCCAGGGAGGACGGGACTCAGGGAGGCCAGGCTGAGGGGTCACTCACAGACTGAGCACAGCCTGCATGGAGATGAACAGGGCTGGCACGTTGAAGGTCTCAAAGAACACCTCTGCCGCCTTCTCCCGGTTCTTACTTGGGTTGAGCGGGGCCTCCGTGAGGAGCACAGGATGCTGCGAGGGTGGGACAGTTGTAGGCATGCAAAGAGGCAACTTGCAAGGCCCTAAGAGGCTCTTTCCAGAGAGCCACACCCACCCGCTGGCGCACAGGCGGCTCAGCCTCCTACCCCTCCTGAGGGCACCATCCCGTCATCTGCTGGCAGTTACTCTTCCGGAGATCCGGCTCTCTTTGGAAGATTCTGCCTAGCAGCCACGGGGTATGCATGCGCACCCAGACACACAGGGAAAGGCAGCAGGCCCTCTAGAAATGCAGAGGGGAAATGTGGGAGCCCGGCGAGGAGGGACACAGAGGAGAGGGGCACAGCCAGGAGAACGCGAGCGTGTGGAAGGGGCGGCCGCCACACCTCCTCTGAGAAGGTCTGCAGCTGGTCCTTCGAGTAGACGTACTGCCAGATGCGTTCCATGTCATTCCAGTCTCGCACCACGCCGTGCTCCATGGGGTAGCGGATGGTCAGCAGCCCCCGGTGCTCCTGGCGGGGTGGGAAGGGGGTGTGGCACCCGACCCTTGCTCAGTGGCTGCTTTCTGCCCTCCTGGAAGCTGCCCCTCACCTGCCCTGACCAGAAGCACCCCTGCCCACTGGGTCTGTGTGCCCACTGGGTCTGTGTCCCAGGGTCTGTGGCGGGTCCTGAACTCAGCATGGGTTCACCTGCCTAATAGCTTCTTAGGCTCTCAGAGCCCAGCTAGCTTCGGCTGGGGGGATCGGAGAGGGTGGCAGCATGTCCCCCCACATCTGCAGACCCTCTTCTTCCCCGTTCCCGCTGCCGGCACGTCCCCCACATTCTCCTCGCACTCTGCCAGTGCCGGAACCTTGCAGCCGCCCAACATGGCCCCTCCGGGCCACCTGTGCACCCTGACCCGTGCCTCTTCCCCCAGCCCTTTGGCCGGTCCTCACCAGTTCCCTGCACGCACTGATGTGCTGCTTCCACCTGCCCTTCGATGTCCCCCCAGGCATGCCCCTTCTCACCGAGCTCAGCTTCTCACTTAGCTCCTCTCACCACCTCGGCTCCTACGGACCCCACCTGCGAGACCCCCACCTCCGCACCTCCAGCTCAGGCCTCCCCTTTCTGGGCACAGAACCAGGCATGCCCCACGGCCCAGCACCCGACGCAATGCTCCTCAGGCGCCTAAACTGCCCTTGGCCAAGCTCAGCTTGCTGTTCTCCCCACACCCACACATGCTCTCCTGAGGGTCTGATCAGGCCGTGCACTCCCTTGGTGGGGCACCCCGGCTACAGTGTGAGAGGAGGCCCCACGGCCTCATTAGAACACACATCAAGTGTGTGATTCTGACTCTTATACCACTTTTTAATTGGTTCTTGGTTCTGCAGCTTCCAAATAGCTTCTAAAAGACAGGACACGAAGCGCTCTACCCATGCTCCCCAGAAGAGGAACCGTGGCCCCATCTCAGGGCGAGGTGCCCCTGCACAGCACTTCCCAGCCGGAGCCTGGAGGAGGTGCCCGGGGAGTCACCAGCAGAGGCTCAAGAACACGGGTCTCTCACATATGCCATGCCCCTGCAACTGAGGACCCCACACCCAGGGAAAGGCAGGCTTCTCGGTGTTACCTCTGCTTTTGGTCCGATGAAGAGGTCCCCCTCCAGGGCTCCAGCCATCACCCGCATGTGCTTGGGCCGCCCGACACTGTGAGGACAGATAACGTCAGCAAGGAAGGCAGGGGGCATGGTGGAGCTTGTGTCCAGAAAAACTGAAATCCAACCACAGCTGCCCAGAGGGTACCTGGCCTCCGAACACCAGGATGTGGCTGGGGGGCACAGGATGGAACTGGGGCCTATAGGGTTTGGGGCTAGAGAGAGGGCCTAGGCAGGATGAGAAGCTCAGGGTCGGAAGACATGGTCAGCACAGACAGTTGCGTATCTGAGCACCAGAACCCAGTCCTCCATGGCCCAGCCCTTGTAGAGGGTCAGCTTCCTGCAGCCACAGTGACTCGGCCCACGCTCCTGACTTCGGTGGGGCAGGGCTGCTGTCACTGTCCACAGACTGAGGGAGGACAGCCCCAGGAAGCTGGGTCAGGGCTCCCTTGTGCACCCTGCTCTCACTCAGTCAATGCCACCCTACCCCACTGCCAGGGTTTCGGGATCAGAGATTCAGTTCTTGGGAACTGTAGGATCTGATGAGCTACCATTAAAGTTAAAGGAACCTCTAATTATACCCACGCAGTCAGAAAGGAATGCTGAAGCTCGACAGGGAGCACCACGCTAGCTCTGTCCCAGACCAGGCCGGGCTCGGGCTACCCTGCCACTTGGTGGGGGTCTAGGACCCCCTGCTGCCTCCTGCCTCACTCATTCCCAAGCTCCCAAGCCTCCAGGAAGACATGCTCCTGAGGGCAACTTTCTCAATGGGCTCGCGGCGGGTGCAAGGGGCACCCCAGGCTCTCTGGGTTTGCAATTCACTCTTACTCCCGCCTCCACCAGTACCACACAGGGCAAAGGATCCCCTCTTAACTGAAACAAGACATTTTCTAGAGTCTGAAGACAAGTCCAGCAGAAAAGACTTTCAGGGAGGAAACGGTGGCTGTGCATCTAATTCCTCACTCCTCCTGATCTGAGCTTAGGGCTCCCCTTGGACGTGTCTCCCTTTATTCTTGCGGCTGCTACCACACCCCATCCCCAGGGAAATACTGGCTGCTTTTCCTCCTTGCTGGCTCAACAAGACCAAACTGAGAGACTCCAAAGACAAAGGGGAACCCTAGAACGCTTAGTCTTGTTCTTTCAGTGCTCTCTCAAGAGTGTCAACCTCACAAATTTGGTGTTTTCCATACAGGTCAGGGCAAAAATTGTCTTCAAAGAGTGCTGTGACAGAAGGCTAACGTTCTCACAGAAGATAAACAGAAGGACTGAGGCTGCTGCCTGAGCCACACTTACTAGTTTGGGAAACAGTATTTGGGAATCTGGTCTCCTGCAAAGCCGGCTTTAATCACCCCGGAACCCTGCAAGGAAAAACAAAGTTTAACGGCCCACGTGCACCACCAGATGAAGCCAGTCCCCTGTAATGGAGACAGCTGGCTGCCCTGTCAAGGCAGGCCAAGGAGAAAGCCAGGGACCCCGCCAGGATCATTTACAAGTACACCAATGGTTCAAGACTGGGAGCAATTTTGTATCCCCCTGCCCTGGCAACATTTGGCAATGTCTGGCAGCTGGGGAGAGGGGACATGCAGTGGAGGATGCTATTAGCATCCAGTGGGCAGAGGCCAGGGATGCTGCTAAACATCCTACAATGCACAGGTGAGCCTGCAGTACCAACAATGAGCTAGCCCAAAATGTCAATAATACAGAGATAGAGAAAGCACGAAGGGCACCTTCCTCTGCACACCTCAAGGTCGGCTCCAGCAGGAGGATTCCATAGCACATGCTACTCCCAAAATCTAGAAGAAACCCCTCTGTGTGGGGTTTTTTTTTTTCAACAGCTTCCCTCTCCCCCAAGAACCCAGAAGGCATGGAACATGGACCACCTACAGGACCTGCTGGAGAAGACCAATAGGTGCATGGGATGACTGGCAGCTCCCCTCATGTGGCTTCCCCAGAGACTACTAGGAGAACCTGCTCCTATCGCTGCCCCCACCTGGCAGCTGGACTTAAGGATCCCCCAAAGAACAGGGCAATTAGAAACCTCCCACCCAGCGAAGGGGCCAGCTTCTCAACGCAGCTCCACCGCTCTTCATCGCAACCCTCTGAGTCTGCAGCAGAAACAAACATCTCCAAGTTACAGAGGAGAGGCTGGAATCTCCAAGGGTCCTGGCGGTAGCCCTTTGAACTTATAAGCCTGTTGATTAGCCTATACGAGTTATTTGCACATCAAGAAAGGAAGCAGCCCGCTCCTTCCTGCAGCGTCCTGCTGGTGTGACAGCACCTCGCCAAGCTCAGTGCTAGCCTTGGGTACTCCAGAACAGACAGCCATTCAGGGACCCCACGGGGTCACGTGCGAGGGAGACAGATCCCAGAAAGAGCAGAAGTGAGTCATTACCAAAAACTCCAAGGACCGCACACCAGACGCAGACACCTAGCTAGGGGCGGACTCAAAGATCCCAGCCCTTATCTTCTCCCCGTATCAGAGCTCGGAGGCCAGAAATCTTCCTACGGCAGCTGAAAGCAAGCCGAGTCCCACTGCTGAAGGCCAAAGCCACGGGAAGCCTGACATCTTTCCTCTGAGGCTTCCAAATGATCACCCCAAATAGCTTGCTGATACTGGGAAGAGGGGCCATGAAGTCTCCATTGCCCTGCTGGCTGTGAAATGTTTGCCCAGCACAGGGAGCATTTAAGGAGAAAGTCAAAGTAGCCAAGAGGCAAACCAGATGGTGGTGGACATGTGGGTGACAGAGTATCCTGCATTTGTTGCCTCGGGGTGCAGCCTCAAAGATGAAGCCAGCAGTGTGCAAAGGGCAAATGCCACCCCACCTCCGCCAGGCAGCCAGAGCCAGGGCCGAAGGACGGGGAAAGGGACTGGGGTCGAAATCTGCCCAGGGACCGCACTCTCAACTGAGAAGGGTCCGGGACGCGTCCCCGCCCGGCCGCCCGGCTGTCACTCAAGGTCTCCTGTACTTCCCCGCCCGGCTCGGGGAGGGGTCGGGGAAGGGGTTCGCCCCACGGCCGGCCTTACAGGGCCAAGTGGGCGCGCGCCCCCGGAGCGACGCCAGCGGCCCGGCGGGGGCGACGGCCAAGCAGTGAGCGGAGCACGCGCCGAGGCGGGCGGGGGTCTCTCCCTGCGCCGCCGCGTGCGCCCCCGGGGGCGGGGCGCCCGCCCTCCCCCTGGCTGCCGGGCCTCACGTTGTCGATGACCACGGGCTGGTTGGCGATGATGTCGTAGGACTCCATGGCCGGGCCACGCCGGCCCTGCCCAGCAGGCGGGCTGCAGGAGGGACCGGAGGGCGGGCGGGCGGGAGGACCGGGACAGCGGCGGCTCGCGACGCGGCGCCGCGCCCCTCCCTCCCCGAGCGTGCAGCCTACGCGAGCCCCGCGGGGCTTCCTGGAGGGCGGGCCCCGCGGCCAATCACCGCTCCCACCTGGTCCGATTGACAGCAGGCGCCCGGGGCCGCCAGCGCGCAGGGGGCGGGGCCTCCGGAGGCTGGCCAGCCAATTGAGGTCATCCGGAAAAAAGTGGTCGCGATGTTGCCGAGGCAGGCTGCGCAGCGTCGGGGATGATGTCATGGCTCCGTCTTAAAGGGGACGCAGGCGGCAGAAAGTGGAGCTGGGCTGGTGTGCGGGCGCCGCCGGAGTCTGTGGAGCTGCAAAAATTCACCGGTCCAAGAAGACGTCTTTCCCGCGTCCCAGCACCTCGGGTCACGCTCCTGCGTGAGAGCGCCCTTTCCAAGGATGCTGGCCCTGGATATTTCACCCAAAGTATTTATGTTTTCTTTTTTTCTAGATAAGGTGTCTTGTTCTGTCGCCCAAGCTGGAAACCTTGGGCTCAAGCGATCCTCCCGCGCCAGCCAATAAGGAGGAACTACAGGCGCGCACCACTGCCCTCAACTTATTTATCTATTTATTTATCCATTTGTTTATTTATTTTTACTGAAATAGGCTCCGTAGAGACTGTTAAAAATTACCAATGCCGACTATATTGCAAGTGGTCACGGTGGGGTATTGGGAAAAGTTTTCAATTAGCAATAATCGTGCTTCGCATAAACCTCATTGGCCACCTTACGGCCACCGCGCAACGCTAGCTAATTAAAACAAATTTTTTTTTTTTTTTTTTTTTTTTTTTTTTTTTTTGAGACGAGATCTCGTTATGTTGCCCGGGCTAGTCTCGAACTCCTGAAATTAAGCAATCCTCCCGCTTAGGCCTTCCAAAGCGTTGGGATTCCAGGCGTCAGCCACTGCGCACGACCCCATAATATTTCCTCGTTGAGCACTAAAGAAAAGATCCTTTTCCTCATAAAAATCACAGTTTTGTGGTATTTTGGTCCTGGCGTTTCTTGAGCACCTGCTCTGCTGTGAGCACTTCTGCCCACTTTACACAGGTTATATTATATCCTTACAACAATATCAGGTAGTTGTCTTATTACTCCCATTTTTCAGTCAAGGTCTTCACACTTTGGTAACCTGCCCAAGATTATTGGGCGGGGAATTGGCATGCAGGTAGCCCCCTGCGCGCACTGGAGTCAGCTGCTTCAAGAGTGCAAGGTACTTGAGTTCTACATTTGTTTACCAAACGGATCCATAGTTATTTCCCTGTATAGATACCTCTCCCAATGGGTTGTGAACTTAAAATTTGTAAAATTGAAGCACAGTGTTAGATGGAAATGTGCAGAAATCACAAGTGTGCATGTACATTTCAATGACTGATTAAAATGTGGACACACTTGTATAACCACCGCTGAGTTCAAGAAAAAACATTCTTGCCAGAAGAGGGGTCCCGATCCAGACCCCAAGGGTGGGTTATTGGATCTTGCCCAGAAGAAATTCAAGGCAAGTTGCAGAGTACAGTGAGAAGCGATTATTTATTGAAAGCTACTCAGTTACAGTGGGCCGTCCTCAGAAAGCAAGAGGGGGAACACACCCTCTTTATTTTAAACTCTTCTTATATAGGGGTCTTATCTCTGCAAAATTTAGTATTTTTTGATTTAAAGAAAGTTATCCTTGGCATTTTAATGCATAAATACATCAAAGCATGACTCTCTCTCTCTCTCTCTCTCTCTCTCTCTATATATATATATATATATATATTTTTTTTGAGACAGGGTCTCACCCTGTTGCCCAAGCTGGAGTGCAGTTGCCTGATCTCAGCTCACTGCAGCCTCCACCTCCCAGGCTCAAGCTATCCAACTGCCTCAACCTCCCGAGTAGCTGGGACCACAGGTGTGCACCACCATGCCCAGCTAATTTTTTTGTAGTTTTAGTGGAGACGGGGTTTCGCTATGTTGCCCAGGCTGGTCTCAAACTCCTGAGCTCAAGCAGTCCACCCACTTTGGACTCCCAAAGTGCTGGGATTACAGGCGTGAGCCATTGAATCCTATAACTATAACTATCTTAAATCATATATTGTTAGGCAATATTGGAGCATCTGGACATTTTGTTGTCATGGGATTTTGTCCTTGCAGGCATTACTAAACTGCTGTTTTAGCCATAGCATCTTATTACCATGGGTCAGGATTGGCAAGGAATGTGCCTTGCTAGTTTTAAGATGGAGTTGGGGCTGGGCACGGTGGCTCACGCCTGTAATCCCAGCACTTTGGGAGACTGAGGCAGGCAGATCACGAGGTCAGGAGATCGAGACCATCCCAGCTAACACGGTGAAACCCTGTCTTTACTAAAAATACAAAAAAGTAGCTGGGCATGGTGGCACGCATCTATAGTCCCAGCTACTCGGGAGGCTGGGGTAGGAGAATCACTTGAACCCAGGAGGCGGAGGTTGCAGTGAGCCGAGATCGCGCCACTAGCCTGGGTGACAGAGTGAGACTTTGTCTCAAAAAAAAAAAAAAAAAAAAGATGGAGTTGGGATGGGCATGGTAGCTCATGCCTGTAATCCCAGCACTTGTGGAGGCCGAAGTGGGTGGATTGCGTGAGCCCAGGAATTTGAGACCAGCCTGGACAACATGGCAAAACCCTGTCTCTACAAAAAATACAAAAATTAGCTGGGCATGGTGTTGTGCACCTGTAGTCCCAGCTACTCCAGAGGCTGAGGTGGGAGGTTGGCTTGAGCCTGGGAGATGGAGGTTGCAGTGAGCCCAGATCGCACCATTGCACTCCAGCCTGGGTGACAGACCCAGACCCTATCTCAAAAAACAAACAAAAAAAAGATGCAGTTGATTTTAAAATGGTGTCACCCTCTCTCTCCTAGGCTTCTGTTTTCTTAACAGCGGGAACAGCCCCCCATCAGCTCCTACCCCTTGGTCTCTGACCTGTTCCTCCTCCGAGGTGACCTCTATCCTTAATTTTGAAAACATATTAGTGTTGCCCATATCTGAACTTTATGCAGATGAAGTCATCGGTATGTATTCATTTGCATCTAGTGTCTATACATTCATAAAATCGATCACTGTGTAGCCATTAAAAATAATGAGAAAGTTCTATATAATTTCATATGAAACATATCAGGACACATTGCTCAGTAAAAGCAAAGACAAAGACACCGAGCGCAGACTGTTATATGCATGAGTGTCTCTGAACGGTATATGAGGCACCTTCAGGCCTCTTTTTTTTATTTATTTATTTTTTTGAGACAGTCTTTCTCTGTCGCCCAGGCTGGAGTGCAATGGTGCAATCTCCGTTCACTGCAAGCTCCGCCTCCCGAGTTCACGCCATTCTCCTGCCTCAGCCTCCCGAGTAGCTGGGACTACAGGCACCCGCCACCATGCCCAGCTAATTTTTTGTATTTTTAGTAGAGACAGGGTTTCACCATGTTAGCCAGGATGGTCTCGATCTCCTGACCTTGTGATCCGCCCGCCTTGGACTCCCAAAGTGCTGGGACTACAGGTGTCCGCCACCACACCCAGCTAATTTTTTGTATTTTTAGTAAAGACGGGGTTTCACTGTGTCAGCCACGATGGTCTCAATCTCCTGACCTCAAGTGATCTGCCTGTCTCGGCCTCCCAAAGTGCTAGGATTACAGACGTGAGCCACCGCACCCAGCCTGAAGATGATTGTCTTATAACAACCTATGTAACCCTTTTCATTTTTCCTTTAAAAAATGTCTTCCTTTACCTCCTGGAACACATCCATTCCCATTGCTTATTCCCACTGCAATGCCTGTTCCTGAATAAACATCATTGTTTTTTTAGAGCTAGAGTCCATTGCTTTACTGCAATCTCACCAGTCTCCTGTCCCCAGGGCACTCCCACCCCTGGGTATTTGTACTGATCAACCAAGTTACATTTTCAGCATTTTCAAACTCAGGGTGGAGATTTTAGACCCTCTTGAACCTCCAGGTTTCCTCTTTGCAAAGGCCAGCGGCAGAAGCAAAAGAGATGGAGCCCGGGTTAGCGTTTATTTTTCTATTTACTGGTCATTTGGAATTTGGACATTTTCTGTCCTCTGGTTATGGTGAGGGTGTGGGTTTTGTGTTGTTTTATATATTCTTTTTGTTATTTTTTGTTCTGGATTTTGTTTTGTTTTGGAAGGTATTTTAGAGAAATGAGATTTCTGCAGCTACCATGACCTGCTATTACAGATTACGTGGTGCCCCTTCTTCTTCATACGTTGAAGTCCTGGCCACCCTGCCGAACCTGAGAATGTGACTGTATTTGGAGATAGGGCCTTTATAGAGGAAATCAAGTTAAAATGAGGTAACTGGGGCAGGCCCTAATCTGATGTAATCCTGTGCTCTTAGAAGAGGAAATGTGGACTCAGGTGTGTATGGAGGGAAGATGGCGTGCAAGCCCAGGGAGAAGATGGCCACCTGAGCCCACGTCCTGGAACAGGGACTTCCCTCACAGCCTCAGAAAAAACCAGCGCTGCTGACGTCTTGATCTCAGACCTCCAGCCTCCAGAACTGGGAGACGATTCAGTCAGCTCCTACACAACACAGGGTTCAATTGTGCGGGTCCACTTCTATGCAGATTATTTTATTTTTTCTTTTCTGAGACAGAGTCTCACACTGTCGCTCAGGCTGGAGGGTAGTGGTGTGATCTTGGCTCACTGCAGCTTTCACCTCCCAGGTGCAAGTGATTCTCCTGTCTCAGCCTCCCAAGTAGCTGGGACTGTGGACACCTTGCCACCACACCTGGCTAATGTTTGTATTTTTAGTAGAGAAGGGGTTTCACCGTGTTGGTCAGGCTTGTCTTGAACTCCTGACCCCAAGTGATCTGTCTGCCTTGGCCTCCCAGATTGCTGGGATTACAGGCGTGAACCACCGTGCCTGACCCTGTATAACACTTTGTGCGAGTTTTTACTGCTAAAAGATAGCTGCCGTGTCAGCCATGGAACACACACTGTGAGAAGATGAAGCCTCAAGGGCAGGGCTGGCTACACAATTTGTGGGACCCAGTACAAAATGAACATGGAAAAAAACTAGAAAAAAGTATAGTACAAGGTACTAAAATAGAAAGATTTTTCCTTTGAAAACAGTTTAATATTTATAAAATATAATAGAGGGAAATAGTGATACATGAGTAACAAAATGGGCGTATCACTTGGTCTGTGCTATTTTGGTGTTATAATTTTACCTAATACAATAAATAGCAACACTTTGTTAGTGAGACGGGGTTTCACCATGTTGGCCAGGCTGGTCTGGAACTCCTGACCTCAGGTGATCCACCAGCCTCAGCCTTCCAAAGTGCTGGGATTATAGGTGTGAGCCACCGTGCCCGGCTGTGATGTCTTGATTGATCACAGGATTTTTCTGGCTATTCTAACTACTTCCAATTCGCTTCAGCCAATTTAGTTGCGCTTCTGTCACTCGTGACTTCAGAGTCCTGGTTAATATCCTCAGTTAATTGCCCTCAGGACATGCGGGATGGAGGAAGGCACCAGGGAGCCGAGGGAAGTGAGCAGAGAGGCAGTCATTTCAGGGCCACCAGCATGGCTCCTGTCGCTGTCCACAGACACAGGCCCTTCCCCTTCTCACGGGCAAGCAGGCCCCACCTCACTTCCGGGTGTGACTTCACAGACCGTCAGGTTCCGTGGTACCCTGGAGTCCACAGCCGCTGAGTCTGAAGGGTCTTCAGAAGACTGGCTTCTCCCTGATGGTTCATGGACTAAGGCGAAGATGAGCAGAGCCCTGGCCCTCTTCTTTGTGCTCTGCTGGATCCAAGGTATGTTGCTGTGGCAGCTGGAGAGAAACATGGGCCGCGCCTCGAGCCTAAGTGGGGCAGAGGAGGGCGTTCCCTCGCACAGTGGGGAGCGCAGATGCTCTACCTTCTCGACCTTCTTTACCTCCCCAAATCTACCCTTCAGGGTTTATTACTTGGGAGAAGGGGGTAACTGAAAACATTTTCCTAACTTTGAAGCTATCTCAAAATTCAGAGCTCTATAGGAGGGTGGCATACATGCATATTTTAACATTTCATTGTAAGAATTTTCAAACATATGCAGAAGTAGAAAGATTAGTATAAAGAACCACCATGTGCTGCCGGGCGCGGTGGCTCACGCCTGTAATCCCAGCACTTTGGGAGTCCGAGGCGGGTGGATCACAAGGTCAGGAGATCGAGACCATCCTGGCTAACACGGTGAAACCCCGTCTCTACTAAAAATACAAAAAATTAGCCGGGCATGGTGGCAGGTGCCTGTGGTCCCAGCTACTCGGGAGGGCTGAGGCAGGAGAATGGTGAGAACTCGGGAGGCGGAGCTTGCAGTGAGCAGGGATTGAGCCAGTGCACTCCAGCCTGGGCGACGGAAGCGAGACTCCGTCTCAAAGAAACAAAACAAAACGAAACAAAAAAACAGCATTAGGCCGAGTACAGTGACTCAGTCCTGTAACCCCAGCACTTTGGGAGGCCAAGGCAGGAGGATCCCTTGAGCTCAGGAGTTTGTGACAAGCCTAGGCAACAAAATGAGAGCCTGTCTGTATAGAACATTAAAAAATTAGCCATGCATGGTGGTGCGTGCCTGTGGTCCCAGCTACTAGGGAGGCTGAGGTGGGAGGATCACTTGAGCCCAAAAAGTCGAGGCTGCAGTAAGCTGTGATCACACCACTGCACTCAAGCTTGGGCAACGGAGTGGGATCCTGTCTCAAAAAAAAAAAAGTAGTAATAACTTTATAGAGATACAATATATAATAAAATTCACCCTTAATTTTATTTTCCTATGTATTATTATTATTTTTGAGACAGGGTCTCCCTCTGTCACCCAGGGCTGGAGTGCAGTGACACAATCACAGCTAATTGCAGCCTCCACCTTCCAGGCCCAAGGATCCTCCCTTCAGCCTCCCAAGTAGTTGGGACCACAGGCATGTACCAGCTAATTTTTTAAATATTTGTAGAAATAAGGATCTCACTATGTTGCCCAGGCTGATCTCAAACTCCAGGGCTCAAGTGATCCTCCTACCTTGGCTTCCCAAAGTGCTGGGATTACAGACATGAACCACCACATCTGGCCAAATTTACCCTTTAAAAAGTATATAATTCAGTGGTTTTTATTATACTCACACAGTTGTGAAGCATCACATCACTATCTAATTTTATTTAATTTTTAATTTATAATTTTTTGAGGTAGAGTGTAGCTCTCTCGCCCAGGCTGGAGTGCAATGGCGCTATCTTGGCTCACTGCAACCTCTGCTTCCCAGGTTCAAGCGATTATCCTGCCTCAGCCTCCCAAGTTGCTGGGATTACAGGTGCGTGCCACCATGCCCAGCTAATTTACTAAATTAGTAAATTACTAGTAAATTAGTAATTACTAAAATACAATTTTTAGTAGAGACGGGGTTTCATCATGTTGGCCAGGCTGGTCACGAACTCCTGACCTCAATGGATCCTCCCGTCTCAGCTTCCTGAGTAGCTGGGACCACAGGTGTACAGCACCATGCCCAGATAATTACTTTTTATTTTTTGTAGAGTCCGGGTCTCCCTATGTTCCCCAGGCTGGTCTCGAACTCCTGACCTCAAGTGATCCTCCCACCTTGGCCTCCCACAGCGCTGGGATTACAGCTGTGAGCCACCGCACCTGGCCTGAATTTTCCTCAAGTTCAAAAAATCCTGATGAAAGTTTGGCTAAAATATTTGGTGAGTTACCCCCCTTCCTGTGGAGCCTCAGGCTGGATTTGAAGAGTTGCGTGCATGGCCCTCGTGGTCTCCCAGGTAACCCGTTCCTGCTGCTGTGAAGGCAAGGCAGGTGCTCTTCCTTGAGGCTAGAATCCGTTTGTCTACGTGTCAAAGACTCAATAAATTAAGCAAAACAGACGACAGACACCTCCAAAGGACCCTGCTGAACATGAGTGGAGCAGAGCAGGGCCGTGTGGGAGCTCACTGAGTCTGCAGCGTCAGATGCCACCTCACACCATGACACACCTGCCTCGCCAGTTTCTGCTCTGAGGCCCCAAGGCCAAGCTGAACCTCCTCCAGGGGTTCTCAGCCCTAATTGAGTATGAGAATCCCTGGGACAATCCTCTTTTTAACAATTGAGACATTCCACACACAACCCGCATCAGATTTTGGGGTGTGGGGATAGACCTTCGCATTTGTAGTTTTCTAATCCTCCAGGGGACGCTAGGCTGATACTCACTGGTCCCCACTCTAAACCTTCCGTTGAACATATGAGAAAAACTGAGGCCCAGGGAAGTCCTTAGCAGAGAGCTGAGACGGAGAAAAGTGTTCTGAACCACAGCTGTCTGCTGAAGGAAGCTGTGCAAATGCCAGTGAAGTCTCTCCTGAGGGTGCCTGGGCTGTGCGTCGGGAGCAAAGGTTGAGGGTCGCCTTAGGTGTGAGAAGGAGCAACCGGGAGAGTGGCACTGATGCTTGCCCCCGGGTTAGGAGGCATTCGGATCACAGAGCGATGCCTGTTCATTCCCGCTTGCAAGGGAGCAGATCTCTCGACACCCGGTGGGTCTCCGTTCCGGCAGCTGTCCGTGTCAGGAGCGCTGGGCCTGCTCCTCCCCATGGAGCCATCACAGAGGCCTCGGGCAGTCTGCATAGACCACTGCCTGGCCGGTGACCAGGAGGGATGAATGAGCAGATGCAGGCAGCACTTGCAGTCCCCCTCGCTGTGTCCTCAGCACCTGCTGTCTAGGAGGCAGAAGCCTTGTCTCAGCCTTGCAGGTGACCCCGGTGTCTCTGAATGCTGCCCCATATGTGTAGGAGGCGGGTGATTGCATCTGAAGATGGGAGAAGAGTTGGGGGTTTGCGAAGCTCCCATCACCCCCCAAGAGCCCACTGACCGGCCCAGCTCCCGCCAGGTGGGCCACGTTGGAGGCCACGGCTCAACTCTGCAGTTCCCTCTGGGCAGCATTTCCAGGGACTCGTAGATCCCCATGGTCCTCAAGGAGGGGTGGTGAGAGCAGCTCCTCATTGTCGTGGTGACCCTGATGGTTCATTTTCTGGTGTCTCTGTGGCGAGCTCCTGTTACGTCGAGCGAGTGAAAACCACTGAGAACCTGCAGCCCCAGAAATGCACCGAGAATAAATACAGGATGAGTGGGGTTTGTGAGGACTGTTTTCTGTGTCTTAGCAGGGACAGCCTAGAGGGGAAGGTAAAACTGCTTCCCAGGGAAGCCAGAAGCCTGAGAACTTAAAAGGGAAGGAGAACTTAATACATTTAAAAAATGTAGCCCTCATGGATTGGCAACAGTTTTCCAAAGAAAGAGCTTTCCGAGCTTATAGAATCCGTTCTGCTTTGTTTCTGCCCCCGTGGCTCCCACCCTTGTTTTTGTGGGTACAGTTTTTTTTTTTTCTTTTTGAGACGGAGTCTTGCTCTGTCGCCCAGGCTGGAGTGCAGTGGCGCGATCTCGGCTCACTGCAAGCTCCGCCTCCCGGGTTCCCGCCATTCTCCTGCCTCAGCCTCCGGAGTAGCTGGGACTACAGGCGCCGCCACCACGCCCGGCTAGTTTTTTGTATTTTTAGTAGAGACGGTGTTTCACTGGGTTAACCAGGATGGTCTCGATCTCCTGACCTCGTGATCCGCCCGTCTCGGCCCCCCAAAGTGCTGAGATTACAGGCTTGAGCCACTGCGCCCAGCCATGGGTGCAGTTTTCATACAGAACATTTGGACACAGGCTTCAAAACTCTCTGAAGACGGCTTTCCCCTTTGGGTCTGCCTTGCTCCCCATCCTTCTTCAGTGGCACGAAGGGTGAGGTGGAGGGTGTGAGTCACATGTGATCTTGGTGTGGGCTGTGGCCGGTCTGCAGTACCCCTTCAATGACTGCTTCAAGGGCTTTTCATGATGCTGTAGCTCATGAAAGAGTTAGTGTTTCCTAGAGGCTGTTTCCAGGTGTCTTACGTGTCACACACTGGCCCACCAGGGCTGGAGTGAGATCATGAGCACCCGATTGTTGGTGAAGGGAGTTGACAGAGACATCGAATGTCAGTGAACAGGAGTGACCTTGGGTCTCAGTAAATACTGTGGTCAACTGAATCCAGAACCCAGCCTCACCAGCAGGGCCCCCTTCCTCCGGAAGGCTGCTTAGCCGTGTACCTGTGTTCTGGCTGCTGCAGGCCGAGCTGGTTTTCTTTTTTTTTTTTTTTGAGACGGAGTCTCGCTCTGTCGCCCAGGCTGGAGTGCAGTGGCCGGATCTCAGCTCACTGCAAGCTCCGCCTCCGGGGTTTACGCCATTCTCCGGCCTCAGCCTCCCGAGTAGCTGGGACTACAGGCGCCCACCACCTCGCCCGGCTGGTTTTTTGTATTTTTAGTAGAGACAGGATTTCACCGGGTTAGCCAGGATGGTCTCTATCTCCTGACCTCGTGATCCGCCCATCTCGGCCTCCCAAAGTGGTGGGATTACAGGCTTGAGCCACCGCGCCCGGCCAGGCCGAGCTGGTTTTCTTCCCCTCCTGTCTTCCCTGGCCCTTGCTTTGTAGTTCTGTGTGACTGTGTCATGTCTGGTTATATCTGTGTAGACTTCTGCCTTTCCCACTATCTAGATGGCTCGGGGAGGCACACCACACACCAGGTCACCTTCCTCCCTGAACCCCCAGCACCTCGTCCTGTGTCTGTGCAGAGATAAGGCTGGTTGAAAGCTTGTGTGAATGATCTGAAGTCTTCTACTCTAGTCCAGTCTCCAGGAGCATTGTGATCTTCAGGAGCGTGGGCTTGGTTCCTCTGTATAGCAATGGGTCATAAAAGTGAGTGGTCAAGATCATCACGGTGAGGGCAGTCCGTGTGGTGCCATAGTTGCTGTACCAGTTAAGAATGCGCCTGGGCTGGGCACGATGGCTCACACCTGTAATCCCAGCACTTTGGGAGGCTGAGGCAGGCAGATCACAAGGTCAGGAGATCGAGGTCAGCCTGGCTAACACGGTGAAACTGTGTCTCTACTAAAAATACAAAAAATTAGCTGGGCGTGGTGGCAGGCGCCTGTAGTCCCAGCTACTCCTCAGGAGACGGAGGCAGGAGAATGGCGTGAATCCGGGAGGCAGAGCTTGCAACGAGCTGAGATCGCACCACTGCACCCCAGCCTGGGCGACAGAGCAAGACTCCATCTCAAAAAAAAAAAAAAAAAAAAAGAATGCACCTGGCTGCAATTTCCTGAAAACCTGACGTACCATGGCTTAAACAAAGAGTGTTTTTTTTTCCTTCTGTCATAGCAATCTGGGAGCGGCCACTGTGGCTTTGGTGCAGGAGGTTGGGAAAGGCCCGCTTCTCTGGTATCATCGGGGGCCTCCCCAGTGCTTGTGTGGCAGACTGACAACAGGAATAAGGAGGAGAATGAGGGCACTGAGTATCATGAGATTTGGGTCATATATCTTTAGTGGGTAGTGTTTGCTGCCCCGAATGTCTCCTGCTATTAAAATGTTCTGCAAGTGATTTAGTTAGTTGGAGTTTCCTTCCCTATAATGTCCAACATCCATTGAGTTTGTGTCATGCTTTCGTTGTATTCATAGTCTGCTTTAGGTACTTAGCAAACTATTGCTGGTATTAACATGCCTTTGTTTACTTCACTGCAGATGAAATTCTGCTGCAAGTGTTTTCCAAGGTTCCGTATGACCCATCGTTTGATGAAACAAGAACAGCAGTCAGATCCATTACAAAGAGAAACACACAAAAAAGCAAGTATATGTCGGTAACCTGACATGCGTACGTACCTCTGCAGACCTCTGTGTTATTTCAAATGTGCGATGCTAGCATTTTAGCGTTCCTTAAATTAACTACTGGGGTGGTGGGGGGCAAAGCCAAACTGAGATGTGAAGGACTCACTGAAATCCCCTCTACAATCTTCCTCCCAATATGGGAGTCTCTAAGCTTCAGTGTGGATATCCCTGTATTTTGGGGTGATCCCTGATGTGCAGTGTCAGGCACGTTTTGCCACGGTGGAGGCTGTGCAGAGGACAGAAGCCCGGCTTGCAAGTGGGGTTCACTGTTCCTTGTAACAGGAGCTATGAGCTATAAAGCTATTCACCGGCACTTTGTAGGTCACTGCCTGTGAGTGCCCAAGTCACCAGCTTGGGAGACAATGTCTTCCTACGTCCCTCCCTGTCACCCCTGCCGTCATTCTGCCCCATCCTCTGTAAAATATTTGCCCGGAGAAGCAGAGCTGATTTCTCCTCCAGCACTGACGCTCCAATGCCAATGCTGAGAGGAAGCAGCTGGCCACGTATGCAAAAATAATGCATATTAACCCCAAATCACATGAAGAAAAGAGAAACCCTGTAAGGTGGACATCATGTGAATTAGGAAGAAAAGTAACGACGAGTAATTAGTTATCAGAATAAACCAGCTTTGTGTGCCATGAATTATAAGACTCTCAGTAAAACAGTTTAGTAACTAATCACTCTGCCAATGCATTCCATAAGCCTTTGGGAAAAGATATGAATATTTCACTGCATAATCTCAGTAGCTTGCCCTGTATCACGTTTTATGATGCTCCCTTGGCTGATACATTATGAGGAATACTTTTTTTTTTTTTTTTGAGACAGAGTCTCGCTCTGTCGCCCAGGCTGGAGTGCAGTGGCGCCATCTCTGCTCACTGCAAGCTCCACCTCCCGGGTTCACGCCATTCTCCTGCCTCAGCCTCTGAGTAGCTGGGACTACAGGCACCTGCCGCCACACCCGGCTCATTTTTTGTATTTTTAGTAGAGACGGGGTTTCACCGTGTTAGCCAGGGTGGTCTCGATCTCCTGACCTTGTGGTCCTCCCGCCTCGGCCTCCAAAAGTGCTGAGATTACAGGCGTGAGTCACCGCGCCTGGCCATTAGGAACACATTTTTAGCAAAGTACTTGCCTGATTAAGTATATCTTTTCTTAATGATTCGTCAGTGTCTTATTAACAGAGAACTGTCCACTTGTCATTTATTGGGTCAAAGTGATTGTGCTTGAAATCGTTTGGCATACACCATGTAGGCCTTTCTGCCAGTTTTCCCGTAGAGTTAATCCTGCCCTGTGCACAAATCTCTCAATGCTTATGCATATTGTCTGTCAAGAGACCATGTGAAAATGAGCTTAGCCCCTGGTGTTGTGTTGGAACTTCAGATGCTTGCAGACACTTCATGACTGCTCTGTGACACTCAGAACAGGTGGGTTCAGGCCAAGTGCATGATGCTGCCCTCAAAATGCCGTGGAGAAGAGTATCAATTTAAAGGGAATACCTGCAGATCCAATGAAAGACTTAATCACAGCCATGGTTTATTTTCCCATAGGCTATTCCCAACAAAAGAGCTTGAACGATGCTGTGTTTGCATCAGGTTCAAAGGAACGTGAGGAACATTTGGCTAAAATATTTGGTAAGTAGCCTTCTGCTCTGAAGCCTTTAGCCTGTGTTTGAAGAGTCACCTGCTTGCATGCTTGTCCCGGGTTGTCACTCAAGTAGCCTCTTCCTGCTGCTTTGAGGGGAAAGCAGCTGCTTTGCCTTGAGGCTGGAATCTGTTTCTCCATGAGTCAAAACCTCAATAAATTAAGCCAAACATGGAAAATAAACACCTGGAAAGGATCCTGCTCCTCAAAGAGTGATCTTTGGAGCAGGAGCAGGGCTACCATCTGGTAGTGTGAGAATACCCTGGGGAGACTGTTTAAAAGAGACATCCCAGGCCGGGCACGGTGACTCAGACCTGTAATCCCAGCACTTTGGGAGGCTGAGGTGGGTGGATCACCTGAGGTCAGGAGTTTGAGACCAGCCTGGCCAACATGGGGAAACCTCATCTCTACTAAAAATACAAAAATCAGGCCGGGCGCGGTGGCTCAAGCCTGTAATCCCAGCACTTTGGGAGGCCGAGACAGGTGGATCACGAGGTCAGGATATCGAGACCATCCTGGCTAACACGGTGAAACCCCGTCTCTACTAAAAAATCCAAAAAACTAGCCGGGCAAGGTGGCAGGCGCCTGTAGTCCCAGCTACGTGGGAGGCTGAGGCAGGAGAGTGGCGTGAACCCGGGAGGCGGAGCTTGCAGCGAACTGCGATCCGGCCTCTGCAGTCCACCTGGGGGACAGAGCGAGACTCCGTCTCAAAAAAAAAAAAAAAAAAAAAAAAAAATTCAGCCGGGCGTGCTGGCAGGCGCCTATGGTCCCAGTTACTGGGGAGGCTGAGGCAGGATAATTGCTTGAACCTGGGAGGTGGAACTTGCAGTGAGCCGAGATCATGCCACTGCACTCCAGCCTGGGTGACAGAGCAAGACTCCATGTCAAAAAAAAAAAAAAGAAAAAGAAAAAAAAGAAAAAGGAAAAAGGAGACACCCCTTGGCCAGGCACGGTGCCTCATACCTATGATCCCAGGGCTTTGGGAGGCCAAGGCGAGAGGATTGCTGGAGGGCAGAAGTTCGGGACCAGCCTGAGCAACATGCCAAAAACCGCTAAAACAACTCCCCCCGACACATGACAAATTAGCCAAGTGTGGTGGCATGTGCCTGTGGTCCTAGCTACTCGGGAGGCTGAGGTGGTGAAGCAGGACGAGCCACAGACAAAACTCCTCAGACACCGAGTTAAAGAAGGAAGGGGTTTATTCGGCCAGGGGCATTGGCAAGACTCCTGTCTCAAGAGCCAAGCCCCCTGAGTGAGCAATTCCTGTCCCTTTTAAGGGCTCACAACTCTCAGGGGGTGCGTGTGAGAGGGTCGTGGTTGACTGAGCAAGCAGGGGGTACGTGACTGGGGGCTGCATGCACCGGTAATTAGATCAGAACAAAACAGGACGGGGAATTTCACAGTGCATTTCTATACAATGTCTGTAATCTATAGATAACAGAACTGATTAAGTCAGGGGTTGATCTTTAACTACCAGGCCCAGGGTGCGGCACTGGGCTGTCTGCGTGTGGATTTCATTTCTGCCTTTTAGTTTTTACTTCTTCTTTCTTTGGAGGCAGAAATTGGGCATAAGACAATATGAGGGGTGGTCTCCTCCCTTAGTGGGAGGATCTTTTGAGCCCAGGAGTTTGAGGCTGCCTTGAGCTATGATTGTGCCACTGTACTCCAGCCTGGGCAGCAGAGCTATACTGTCTATTTAAAAAAAAAAAAGAGAGAGAGAGACGTCTTATTTCACATTCAGTGATCATTTATGTGAGGTGGGGTGAGACATTTGCATCTCTAGGTTTTAAAGCCCTTCAGGTGATTCTAGGCTGTGACTCATTCATCTACTCCAAGCTTCTCATTTACTATTTGAGAAAAACGAAGGCCCGGATGGAAGGTGGTGGGGTGGGAAGCTCCAGGAATCCGTCCCTTTACCAAAACAACAATTTAGCTGGCAAGAACTACATTAAGTAGCCATGGAATATTGGCGTCTAGTAGAACACTTTCGGTGTCCAAAAGTGAGCTTGATGAAGAGGCTGCTGAATTTCAGCATTTCGGGTAGTGGCTACCATCCTCACTTCCCAAGCCTTGTGACAGGCAGCAGTGTGGATAGCAGTCCACATTCCTAGCGAGGATTGCTGGTGCCAGGGTGGGCAATGGAGACCTGTCTTCTAAAACTCAGGTTGTGTATTTGATTGCTGATTGCTATTTTAGAACACCAAGGAGCTACCACTAAGACTGACCATTGTTTTAACTGGCATTGTTAAATGCCAGTTAAAAAACTCTATGGGCTGAAGAGGCTTCCAGGCAACACTGTTGAGGGGATTTAAGGAAATCAGGTTTTTTGTTTTTCTCTTTTTGGAGATAGACACTTAAGGAAATTTTTGTCAGGTCATTGACTAACTTCAGATATAAGAAAACAGAAAATTCAGCAACTCTCACACAACAAGAACTACACACTTTGCAAAACTAGTTTGGAAAAGTTACAAAAAAATTGCTTCAGCCTTCTATAAGCAAAAATCAACAATCACTGAAAGAGAGGATTAGGTTTCCAGAGTTATCAAAATGTAATACACAGAATGTCCATCTCTCAACATAAAATTATAAAACATACAAAGAAACAGGAAAGGATGGCTCATTCACAGGAAAAAGGAATTTGGCAGAACTGGTTCCTGAGGAAACCTGGGAATTAAAATTACTACACAAGATGTTAAATCAACTGTCTTCAAATGTTCACTGAACTAAAGGAGACCATTAACAAATAAGGAAATCAGGAAAACAATATATAAATAATATCAATAAAGAGATAGAAATTATTGAAAAGAGCCAAAAAAATTCTGGAGCTGAAAAGTATAATAAATGAATACTTGGCTCATGCCCATTAATCCTAGAACTTTAGGAGGCCAAGGCGGGTGGATCACGAGGTCAGGAGATCGAGACTATCCTGGCTAACATGGTGAAATCCTATCTCTACTAAAAATACAAAAATTAGCCGGGTGTGGTGGCGGGCACCTGTAGTCCCAGCTACTCGCGAGGCTGAGGCAGGAGAATGGCATGAACCTGGGAGGCAGAGCTTGCAGTGAGCCAAGATGGTGCCACTGCACTCCAGCCTGGGCAACAGAGCAAGACTCTGTCTCAAAAAAAAAAAAAAAAAAGAAAGGATCAGCACACTTGAAGATAAGACATTGAAAGTATCCAGCCTGAGATGCAGAAAGAAAAAAAAAAGAGAAAATGAATAGAACATGTGGGACTTGTGGAGCATCATCAGGCATACTAAAATATACATTATGGGAATCTCAGAAGGAGAAGACAGAGAGACCCGAAGAGAATGTTTGAATAAAGAATGGCTCCAAACTTCTTGAATATGTTGAAAGACATGAATATGCACATTCAAGTTGCTCAATGAACTCCAAGCAGAATACTCAGAGATTCACAGTGAAACACGTTATCATCAAATTGTCAAAATCCATACACAAAGGGAATCTTTAAAGCAGTAACAGAGAAGTGACTCATAGCATAAAAGGAACCCTCAGTAAAATTCACCACTCATTTCTCCTCAACAACCACAGAGGGTAGAAGGCAGGATGGCACATTCAAAGTTCTGAAAGAAAAATAATGTAATCAGCAGGGCATGGTGGCTCATGCCTGCAATCCCAGCACTTTGGGAGGCGGATGTGGGCAGATCACATGAGTCCAGGAATTCAAGACCAGCCTGGGCAATATGGCAAAACGCTGTCTCTACTAAAAATACAAAAAAAAAAAAAAAAAAAAAGGGCCGGGCGCGGTGGCTCAAGCCTGTAATCCCAGCACTTTGGGAGGCCGAGACGGGCGGATCACGAGGTCAGGAGATCGAGACCATCCTGGCTAACACGGTGAAACCCCGTCTCTACTAAAAAATACAAAAAACAAACCTAGCCGGGCGTGGTGGCGGCGCCTGTAGTCCCAGCTACTCGGGAGGCTGAGGCAGGAGAATGGCGTAAACCCGGGAGGCGGAGCTTGCAGTGAGCTGAGATCCGGCCACTGCACTCCAGCCTGGGCAACAGAGCCAGACTCCGTCTCAAAAAAAAAAAAAAAATTAGTTGGGTGTGATGGTGCATACCTGTAGTCCCAGCTATTCAGTAAACTGAGGTGGGAGGATCACCTGAGCCTGGGAAGCCCAGGCTGCAGTGAGCTGAGATTGTGCCACTGCATTCCAACCTGGGTGATGGGAGTGAGATCCTTTCTTGAAAAAAAAAAAAGAAAAATACTGTCAAGCAAGAGTTGTCTGACAAAATTATCTTTCCAGAATAAAAGAGAAATAGAACATTTTCAGATAAACAAAAGCTGAGAGACCCGCCTTATGAGAAATGGCAAAGAGAGCCCTTCAGGCTGAAATGAAGGGACGTTTGACAGTCACTTGAAGACATAAGAAAAAAAAAAATGCTGGCAAAGGTAACTACCAGTTCTAAAAGTCTTATTGTACTTTAGGTTTCATCTGTAACTTCTGCCTTTTAAAAATATTATTTAAAAGGCAAATGCACGAAATAATAATCTGTTATTATTAATCTATTATTAATTTTTTTAATAATTATAATTATTAATCTATTATTAATAAATAATAATAACATCTGTTAATGGTCATACAACATATAAGGATAGATTCTGTAATAACAACAATATAAAGGGAAGGGAATAGAGATATATATGTGCAGAGTGTTTGTATACTATTGAAACTAAGTTGATACCATGCAAACTAGGTTGTTATAAATTTAAGATAACTAGGTGTTTAAGTTTAAACAAATTTTTTTTTTTTTTTGAGACGGAGTCTCGCTCTGTCGCCCAGGCTGGAGTGCAGTGGCCGGATCTCGGCTCACTGCAAGCTCCGCCTCTCGGGTTCACGCCATTCTCCTGCCTCAGCCTCCCGAGTAGCTGGGACTACAGGCGCCGCCACCTCGCCCAGCTAGTTTTTTGTATTTTTTAGTAGAGACGGGGTTTGTGTTAGCCGGGATGGTCTCGATCTCCTGACCTC